ATAACCTCTTTTTATTATACGACATAGTATTTTATAGTGCGAATACGCACCAAAACGAGTGCAAATATGACGAGACCGTATTACACGGGTCTTAGTCCCCCTGACCGCGCGCTACGGAAAACACTGTTGGAAGCCTATATTTTAGGAAAGATATTATGTCTATAATAAACAATTTTTCAGCGGAAAGTTGTGTAATACGGCTGGGTATTTTTACTCGTCAATGTTTATTTTTTCTTGCCTAAAGGCTCGAAAAAATAAAAACTGACTCGTAAAAATACCCAGCCGTATTACACAACTTTCCGCTGAATAACCTCTATTTATTTACCCACGTATCACTCAGGAGCTAAAAGAAGCTCGTTAAAACTTGAACGTGAAATTATAAATAAGTAAAATGGTAAAAATTATTACATACATTAAATATAAAATATCAAAAACCTTTTCTATATCGTATCTTCCATGATAAAAGATTACATAATGACTAAAAATATCGTTCAGACTAACGTTACCCAACGTTACCCTCCCCTCCTACTTTATCGCAAGATCGAATCAATATAAAATAGGAGTAGGAGTCGTCAGGTCTGTCACCTTATTATACTAAGCCCCTCAAAAACGTCCTTTGAGAAATATATGCCCCGGGGCTTATTTTCGGAATTTTACGGTATACTAACTGAATAGGATAATGCATTTTCAAGCATTTTTTTTATTGATTCAGTACTCATGGTCTCAGTGGCAGTATACCCTCTCTACCTTGTTTGGAAATAATGCGAAGTTCAATTTTTTTTTTGTCGGGCAAAAGTGGCGGAATATTTTCGTCTTTTTCTAATTTTTTCCCGACAAATTCGACATTTTCCTTGTGATTTGTATATTATAAAACAATTATTCGCCTCAGGCTTGTGAATATTGAATTTTGAACCACAGACGGCAACCAGAAGGCAAATGTTCTAACTTGTTTTTGGCGCAAGTTCACCCCCCACCAATGAGTTGAAAAGCTGTCGCTTTTGCATTTACAATTTGATGTTACGGTCAAAAAGTCGATAATACGTGCCAAAGAAGAAGTAGAAGAAGTAGAAGAGAACATTCGACTTCCCGTTACTGTCCGTGGCTAAAAAAGCGTCTGTGTTTAAGTAAAGCTCTCTGTTAATCGGTTTCGTGCCTTCTGTTTGGAATTAAACGACATCATTACACCTGATGTCGAGAGACAAACGGCTGAATTGACTCGCCTTGCTAATAGCGAGATTCGTAAATAAAAGAAAAATTATTCTGTTCATTATAAAGCAGAGTTCGTCTCACGACAAGAAACCACAGGTCACCAATGCAAAGCACTGTATAAGAGTTTGCATGGAGCTGAAACTCGATCGAAAATAATTTTCACTTTTCTTTCGAAAAGTTGTAAATAATGTGAATTAAAGTGTTAAAACCTCACCTGTTGTCTTTTTCTGTGTTTTTATCTCTTCTGGTAGGCCCTGTGGGGAAGCTCTAAATTCGCCCAAAACAGCTTCCAGGGGCCTCCCAGAAGCGATCAATCACCGCACAGGAAAAGACAACAGGTGAGGTTTTAACACTTAAATTCACATTATTTACAACCAGTTTCGAAAATTATTTTCGATCGAATTTCAGCTTCATACAAACTTTTATACAGCGCTTTGGTGACCTGTGGAGACGCAGTGCGTGAACAAAATAGAGAAAATGTGCAGACGGCTGACCAGACGGCTTGCGTTTGCGGAAAAAAGTAGGCTGTTCGGGAAAATGAGCCCACGCTCATCCTCCCGAAGGCGGAAATCGAGCCTACGGAAAAAGTTGAACCACGTTCTGTTTTTCCGCCTTCGCAAGCCGTCCATACGTTTCCTCTATTTTATTTTACGTACGTAAAGCGGCGTGAATTCAACTGGATTTACGTGCGTACTATAAAATGAGAAATTGTGTCAGTGGACGGCTGGTGTTTGCGAAAAACGTTGAACGAACGTAGACTTAAGCAGTCTGTGAGCAGGCTTTCTGTGGCCCAGGAAATAGACAGGGAGATGCTTTTTCCCACGCAACTTGTGAACTCATTTTCTCTATTTTATTTTACGATGGAAAATGGCGCCGATTATCCCGCGCCGATTCCATGGGGTCTGGCGCGCCGATCCAATCTGGGCGCCGATCCGATCTGGGATCTTTAACCCGTTCATTACCGAGACCTTGATTATTCTGGCTTTGCGTTGCTTGCCGAGTAACATCGGTGGCAGAAGCGTTATTCGTTTTCGTTGAATGTATAATAAAACAATTATCAGATTCGGTTTTTGTGATATCCAGAATAATCAAGGTCGAGGTAAGAGTTATCAGCCTCAGCCTTCGGCTTCGGCTGATAACTCTTACCTCGACCTTGATTATTCTGGATATCACAAAAACCTCATCCAATAATTGTTAATTAACACGTGGACTTAAATCAAATTGGATCAAACCACTTTTGATGGAAATCATTGAATATTTTGACCGAAGTTCAATTTGCTTTCTAGATATGGTTCTGCCAAGATTCCGCTTGGTCTAGACAACCCAGCGTATCACATCGAACGTTCGGAAATCGAACTCAATCGAACTTAATCGAACTCAATCGAAGTGACTATCTAAGTAAGATTTCGTGAGGTTGAAATTATTTAGTCTATTTATATAAGATAAGTGTCGGCAAAATGCTATTTGCGAGATTAATTGATCCTTTATCTACGGACATTAATCGAAACCGTGTTTATGACGTGATCACGCAAATTTCTTTGTTCAAAAGCTAAGTTTGGCAAGTTTCAAATATATAATTCTTACCACATCTCGACGTCATAATTGATCTTGAAGGCTAAAAATAATAGAGGAAATTTTAGGATTAATATATTTATTGCGAGCCGCAGTTAGGTTCTGTTTAGTTTTGTCTCCCGGCGTATCACATCGAACGAAATTTTAATCGAACTTAATCGAACTCAATCGAACTAAATCGAACGATTAAATTCGATTTTGTTCGGTCATCGAACGAAATCGAACACATATTTTTTTGTAAGTTCGATTTCCGAACAAAATCGCATGTCATCGTTCGATTTTGTTCGATTTTTTGTTTTTTATATTTATTTCTTTTATGGTCATCCCGGGTCTCATTAGCACACTGTGACAGGCAACTCAGTCCTGTAAATGACCCAATCGTTCGATTGAGTTCGATTTACAATCGAACAAAATCGAACGTTCGATTAGTTCGGTCATCGAACGAAATCGAACTTCGCACAAAAAAAAATTGCGAATCGATCAAAATAGAACGTTCGGTTTTTGAGCTCTTGATTATAAATACATAATAGATTCAGGCTCCATCTGCCCTTTGGGTCATTTACGTTCCTCGATCGTTGTCGCGCGTCGCCCGGTTTCGCTCAAAGAAGACGACTTGTGGCAAGTCTAGTTGTGACCATGCCCGGTCAAACGACCACAACAATCTCTCAACATTTCAAGGACAAAAGAAATGTTGTCACAACATTGTTGAGAGGGGTGATCAAACGATCTCAACATCGGCTCACAACAAATGTTGTGAGAATGTTGTGACAAATGTTGTGACCGTTTGATCGGGCCTTAAGCTTAAGTTGCTGTCAAACACAGAATTGTAATATAAAAGCTTGGCTCATCTTCCCATTAAACTGCCGCCTGGTTCACAATTTGCCTTAGGCTACAAATAAATTAACTTAACTTTATTATCAGCGAAACGTTCACCCGTTCTTTCATTACGTTTTGACCTGTTTTTCCGACCAACTCGTGTTGTTATGACAACTTGGTAGAACAGCCCCTTTAAAAATTTGTAATCTGTTCCTTCTTGAAAATGGAGGAATTCGCGAACGTGACGAAAACATAAACTATAAAAGCAGCTGCACTAGGTTGTTGTTTGGAGGCAGGGGTACACATGAATGCCATTTTTCCGCCACTCAACATGGGTTTAATGGAAATATCTCGTTCACGTTTCAAGCAATCCAAAAACTCTATGCTCATATCATGAATCCATGTTATGGGGTGTTTTGTAAATTTTTGGGTGATTTTTGGGTTTGGGAGGAAATAGTTTTTTTCTCAAAGGAGTTGTAAAATTTAGGGAAATAAGAAATATTGAAGATTTAATGTAGTTTTAAAATTAGAATTTGAAGTTAAAAATTAGTAGATGGACACCAACAGACAGTTGATACCCACGCAAGAGCACCCGCGTGGGTATAAACTGGCCGGTTGGTGTTCCAAAAATTATTTTCTTTCTTCTATCCCTTCTCAGTTTAAACCTCTTAAAATTTCATTGAAATTCAGGTATACCCCCGCCTTAGTTGCTGCCAAACACAGAATTGTAAGCTTGGCTTATCTTCCCATTAAACAGCCGCACGGTTCACAATTTCGGAGTCCAGAGCTTGTAACTCGTGTTGTTATGACAACTTGGTAGAACAGCCCCTTTAATAATTTGTAATCTGTTCCTTCTTCAAAATGGAGGAATTTGCGTACGTGACGAAAACATAAACTATAAAAGCAGCTGCACTAGGTTGTTGTTTGGACTTGATTAGCAATGGAAATTAAAGGCGTTATTATCCATTATGACGGGAGTTTGTCCAGGGGGGAGCTGCTCTTTGTGCAATTCCGACATGAAGGTTCATGACAATTAGACTAAATTAGAACCCCATAGCTGTGTCAAAAATTAAAATGTTTCTGTTCCTGGATGGCTTTAAAATTATACTTGTTTTTATGGCCTCAGTGTGGCTGAAATGAAGTTTAACCCTGCAGGTTTAAAATAAATATAAAAATAGAACAAATTGAGGGCAAACACTGTTTATTTACCTAATATTTTGGAGATGTATTTCTGCAACACCCACTCATCACATTCAAACTGTTATTCAGTCTTGGAATGCATGGTGTGATGAAAAGAAAACAATTCATCGAAACGACAGTAATGTTTTTGAAATGAATAAATGATCATCGCAGTTGTGAATGCAATTTAAGCAATTGCAATTTTTAAGCCAGAAAAAACATTCTGGCTTCAACGGGATTTGAACCCATGACCTCCGCGTTACTCAGTAGTGCGATGCTCCACCAACTGAGCTATGAAGCCACACGTTGGGAGCAGGTCAATGTTTTTAAAACTCTCTGCACTTCAAGCTGATGCCGTATTTCGCTTTTTGCCGACAATACCCTTATATGGCTTCGTGGCATGAATACGAATAAAAGTCTATGTTGAATTCGTCATTTTTGAAGCGCTGAGGGGGTGCTTTTCTTAAGGGCGGCGACTTATTGAGCATTTAGATTAGCACATTAAAACCGAAGCCTGTTGGCTCTTTAGATTTTATTCGCCCCGGGAGAATCCGGAACACTAATAGATTGGCGTTTTTGAAAATTAAGCCTCCCTCATTGTTTATTAATTCAATATATAAGACGGCTAAATGAAGTTTAGACGCCATTAAATCCATGCATGAATCAGAAAGAACTGACGGAGGAATCGCTTAGAAATAAGGCTTGCACAGCCGTGATTACAGAGACTACAGACGCAATGATCAACTGATGACAAGAGCGGTAAGGCCACATTTTCTCTCTATACCTTATTACATGAAATTTTCGCGACACGTTAATTTCGCGAATTAAAAAAAATAATAATTAAAGTGTCGAGAGGAAAAAGTGTCGCTAAAATTTGCTGGCTTGAAAATTAAGTGACGTTTATGTCCTTAGCTATAAATTAAATAACGTATCATTCCGGCGACTTTTGTCAAACCTTTCACGATTTTGATTTGAAACTGATTAAAATAGTTCAAACGGTAGGTCGTGTTGATTTTATCGTTTTATTACGATATATACCGATATATATAGCAAATATTCGATACGAACGCTCGGGTGAAATCGCGAAAATTAGTGACTAAGAAATGTGTCGCGAAATATGGCCACTCCAAATTCGGAAAATTGACGTGTCGCGCGAAAATTTTATGTAATCAGGTACTAGTGTTACGTACACTTTCGCCCACTGAAATTCTATCTTAGCTTCCAATATAATGCACAACTGAACTAAAAACATCACTGGAGTTTGTATCGACCAACGCTCTTTCTGATATGTGTTTTTTGAGTTTTTTTTTGAAAACTGAACATACAGCATTAAAACTCAGTCTAAAATTTGAAAAGCACGTCGATAACGGTTTTTTAACTAAGGATTTTTTTAAAATTGGATGACAATTTTTGTAAGCCATGCCCTATATGCCTTACGCTGTTATTTAGAAATTCAGGTTATCGTAACCCTAAGGGACTCTAATATTGTTGTGCTGTCAAAGGTAAATACGACTATTTGTGGACTTATAAGGTATTGGAGGTACTCGGCAACGAATCTCTCGATGGCGAACATCTGTTGATTTTCGTAACTTGTGTACTTTTATTTATGAGTATTTTAATTTTCCAAATAGAAATCTCAAGTTTGCCAATTCATTCTTTCGTCAAACGCTATAAATTTATTTGTTCTTTCTGCATGCAACATTGCAAGTAGTTGGCCCAAGCTTTTCCATCTCTTACCCAGGCCATCTCACTCTTCTGAAAAGGGAGAACTAGGCACAGGATTACGTCACGATTAGGTGCACGCGTCGGTGCACGCGGAAAATTGGGGGAGCACGATGAGTAGAAGCGAGAGTTCTTCGAGCAACTCTGGCTTCAAAACACACAAAAATTCGTACGTAATTCATCGTGATTGTCATCCACAAAGTTAGTGTTGAAATTTGAAACTCGTTTTACACAGTAGAAATTCAAGAGAAATTTTGCTTGCAAACACATCATGGAGAGAAAGCTAGATTCCTTGCTACATACTGCTCACGATAAAAATGCTGCCGATGTCCCGGGCTCGATGTGCGTCCAAACTGTAGCTATAGCTCGGTACTTATCTCTGGGATCAGTTCCGGCTGCTACAATTAAGTTCCCTGTTAACTCTTCACACGGGGGACTGTTTGCAGGAACTTGTAGCAAGACTGTGTCCCGGGGACAAGTCGCTTGACTTACACACGAGCTAGGGAATTGGTTTGTTTGCAGGGACTAGCACTAGGCCCGCGAACAGTTCACATGAAGAGACAAACACAAGTCGCAGGGACCTCGACTAGATTTTCTAGATCTGACGAAAATGAAAATGAATAGTCCCCCGATCTTCAGGTCCTCCCATGTGTACCGGCCTACGAAAATGCCGGTCGCAGCTTGATGTGTTAAGACCCCGGGGTACTCCCATGTGAAAGGGGCGGGGATGCTCGTCGTTCTTTTAGTGGTGTAATTTAAGGATTTTGGTTTCACTTAGGGTGTTCAGGACGTCCAGCCGTCGTCCAGCCTAGTCCCTAGTAGTTCTCTTTCCTCTCGAGCGAGCGCGAAATACACGTAAGGACCTGGGAACGGGTTTGCTGCGGTGACGTCATGAAATTTCGGGCCAAATCCCAAATCGAGTAGCGGGAAGGCAACGCCTGGTACTAGGCTGCAGAGAGGCAATGAACGAAGAACTAAAGATTTAGGACAATGCTCTTATAAAAATCTATTGATAGATCAAAGCATCAGATGACAACATCTTTATCGTCTATAGCTCTTATTTGGTTGTCTGTTTTAGAATGGTATCTTTTAGGGGTCAAATAAAGCTTGAGCCACGCCCAGATTGGTCTCATTCAAATTTTCCGACGAGCATCCCATCCCTTCAGTTCTCATGGGCGTCCCCACCCACCCCGGAATTAAGACATATTCTCTCAAATTGTTGCAAACGATCGCGAACGAAAAACCTGTATTTCGTAGAAGCTGAGAATTATCAATACAGCTGCGGATACATGTGTATTTATACTAGTTTGCGTGGGTAGACTGATCTGTATTTAGCTGAGTCTATAGTATCTTCTCTCAAACAAGAGCAAACCTGATCAGTAAAGTCACAGATATTACCCCCTTGGCAAAGTCTTTATGATCATTTTCCGGCTAAGAAATGGCCGTCTGTACAGTAGTCAAATAAAAACAGCGTCAGCTGTACCACTGTATAAGGTTATAGAGTGGTACTGTGACGTCACAAATTTTCAAATTAGTTTTATTAAGCCTCAAAATCCCATCATTAGATAAAGATTGCTGCTACATGTATACCATCAGGGTATATGATCAGCCACAAAATTTCAAATTGTTAGCACGAATAGAACAGAAGATATAGAGGTTCAAAAGTTTGGTACCGTCCCATACAAACCTCTCTAATTTTTTGCGCCGATTCTAAACTGAAGGAACAAACGCAAACTTAGAAGTTTTTTTATGAGGAATTAAAACCTGAAGTGCCCACATCTCAGCCGCAAATTGCAATGGCGAGCTAATTTTTGGCAAGTGGACGTTTTTTGGTATGCTTCCTCCGAATAGCTGATCAAATTTCGTAATTTCGCAAATTTAATTTTTGTGACGTCATAACTTTAGTACTTTATTAGCGCAAGAGAGGATGATCTAAGAGAACACATCCCCATGCCCCATGATAGTTTTTTTCAATCTATTTTAGCTTCGCGCCATGCTGTGAAAGTTATTTTAGTTCTCGTCCCATGGTCGCGCGGCCAATGATCAGCAGATCAGATGTCATTGCGAAGATTTTTCTCGCCGTCGTGTTGACGTCCATCTACTAAAATCGTATTTAATGACGTAATGAAGTTTAAGATTTTACGCCAAATCTTAAATTTCATTTCATTACGTCATTACAACTGACCAATCAGGTGTCTTCCTTAAAATAGCCGCGCAGTATGACCACGCGCTAAAATTAGATTGATTATCATTGGAAGAGGCCCATATATGGGGATGTGTTCTCTTAGATCATCCTCTCTTGATTAGCGATGTTAGAAAATTTATATTTATCATAAGGCACAAGAAATGTCACTCGATTTGAAAAATGCAAGGGCGAGAATCACCTTAGTCTTACTGTGCTTTAGAGTTTGACTATTTCGGTAAAGAACGTGTTAATGAACTCCATGACTGTTGTTATCTAAACTCGCAGCTGTTAAAAAACGATCGATCATCAATCGGCGAATCAATGAAGACCAAGCCTTGTTTAATTTATTTGTTGATTGTTGTTGTACATTACACCCCGCTGAGATATTCATTGGGTTTAATTTTCTAACTTTACCCACGATCGAAAACACGTTGACTCAACTTTACCTTTGAAAAACGCAATACTAGTAATTTTTACGACTTGTGTCAAGTCACGTTCTTCTTGCAACCCATGTCGGGATTGTTAATTGACATCTGTCAATCAAGACAGCATGAATCGCTCTTTAATTGGCCCTAATCGTTAAATTAGATTACGCCAGTCCACCTGAGCCAAAGTCGCGCGCGGTTGTAATGAAATGAATTCATCTGACGTGCAAAGTACCGCCGAACGAACGAAGCTAGGCAGATGTTCCAGACACCGGGTAATTACATATTGATCTCACTCGAGCCGACCTTCGGGTACTAGGAAACGCGACGGGATTATACAAAGAACGCAGTGTAATCGAATGCTAGCGCTATTCCGTACAATCTTCACTTCCGCGTCAACTCCACTTCGATGGTCATTTTCTAAGGGAAGCCATTTCAGGTGAGGGCTTCAGTTTCAGTTACAGTATCTACAACTCGCTGTCTTTGAAAAAGTTACAATTACATTACAGAGTACAGACAGTTTCAAATCTCGTTTCTTACAATTGCTGTCGAAAAGACATTATTAAATGTAACAGCGGCTGCTTTTAGAATGTTTAATGGGACTGAGCGCATGGTACGCTTTCAAGGCCCACCGATGTATACTATAGATAGATCGCCTTTTAGTAATGATGATTTAATATCTTAGAATCGCTCTCCGATTTTGCTTAACTTTCGAAAATGGCTATATCAGTGACGTCTGTCTGTCGGGTGCGTTTTTTTATTTCGTCAGGTGTTCCGTATCTTGAAGATTGACAATGTGATTTTTTTTCAGTTCCTTGGGCGCGCAATTTTGGCTTCTTCGAATGTGAGTCAAAGCCTTAAAACTGTCTAAAAGTAAACACGAGATGAGCGGAACGCTGCGAGGAAAATTGTTGTGTGGTTTTACAAGCACTTCAGCCTAATGCTATTTGGAGAAACTGATCAGAACAC